CCTGAAATAAAAGGCATGCACCACTATGGCCTGGCTTCTATGGTCAGCCAGTGTGGCTATTGGAATTAACGGTGCATGTCACCACTTCCTGGACTGTATGGCTGACCAGTGTGTCTGTTTTACTCTCTTATGCTCAATCAAGCTTTATTTATTAAAATACAAATAAAATATCACTACAACACACAAATGAATGAATAGAAAATTTACCAATGCAATTTAAAAGTTGTAATGGTATGTATACTTTCCTAAAAAAAAAAAAATGCAAAGAACCAGAATTAGAGGTGCACCTTTTCTGCCCAGCACAGGAGTCTATGAAGAAGAGAATTATAAATTTTATTCTGTGCAAGTTTAGGTATTATTGACACCATTCTAAAATACATTAAAAATATTGAAAGGGAAGAATTTTAAGTAAAAATGTGAAATTAAGTAAAAAACACACTTAAATTTTGTAATTGCTATTTGAAATATTCATACATGTCTGCTACAATATGGACTTGAGAATTATGAGGACAGATGAGGCAGACATTGAAAGTGACATAGAAATGCTATCTGTGGAAGACTTGATTGCAACAGGTCTAGTTCCTGGGCTAGACTTAATCCTGTGGAAGTCAAAGCTAGGTGCCCTAGGGGGTGGTTTTCCTTATTGTGAGGCTGCTGAAGTCCACCCCTGCCAGGAGGAGTGTCTGCCTCCAGAGGCCACACCTTGTGTTTCCTGTTTCTCTGGTCTCTGTAGTTCTGTGTATAAGAGCAGATGCAACCTGTGGGAAGAGATGCAAGGATGTCTTCCTTCATAGCTCTGCTCTGTCTGGGTGAGATATGAAGATGGGGAAGATACACTATAACCTGGGAATGGCCCTGCCCCAAGCCTACCACTGTGCCATCAGGAAAACCCAGGGTCTTGGGAGGTTCTGTGGAGGGGAAGGACCTCAGGGTTTGGGACAGACATCATACAGGTAACTCTCTTCTAGGAATGACTCTGTGCCTTGGGACACCAGAGATGGCAGGTGAGTAAATGCAGCTGTCATGATATGCCATGCCTGGCATACCCAGGAACCAATCCTTGGAAATGAGGATGGAAAACAAGTCCTGAGTGCTGATCCAGGGTTTGGATGGAAGGTCAATCTGAGAATGGAAGCCTTTTGTTCTAGCTGTTCATTTTCTTCCAGGAACCCTGCCTAAGTCTATACTAAGAGCACAGCCAGATACTGTGGTCTCCAAGCAGACTAACGTGACCTTCTTGTGTGAGGGTATGAAAGGAGCCAAAGAGTTCCATATCTACAGAGATGGAGTTCGATATACTCAGTTCACACAGATTCTACTAAAGCCTGAGAACAAGGCTGAATTCTCGATCTCATACGTTGACCAGAACCATGCAGGGAGCTATCAATGCTGCTATCAGACTCATGATGGATGCTCAGACTACAGTGACGCCTTGGAGCTGGTAGTGACAGGTGAGAGGACAAAAATGTTGCTATCCTCAGGTTTCTCTGTCAAGAAGCGAGCCTGTTCTCAGGGGTACCCTGTACTTTACAGCTCTGGAAGAAAATGTTTCTGATATCTTTAACTGATTCCTTTTTCCCTTAGGAGAACACAGTAAACCCAGTCTGTCAGCCCAGCCCAGCCCAGTGGTGACCTCAGGAGGAAGTGTCACCCTCCAGTGTGACTCACGGCAGCGACATGACAGGTTTGTCCTGATTAAGGAAGGACCACAGAAGCTCTCGTGGACACTGGACTCACAGTATAACTTCTCTGATAGACAATACCAGGCCCTGTTCTTTGTGGGTCCTGTGACCTCCAACCAAAGGTGGACATTCAGATGCTACAGCTTTGACAGAAACAGACCACTGGTGTGGTCAGAACCCAGTGGTCCACTGGAACTCCTGGTTTCAGGTGAGGAACCAAAAACATTCCACAGAATAGTGTTGAGGATACTGGTGCTGAGGGAGGCCTTGGTGTGTGGTGTATCTGAGAAGATAGGGCTCTTTAGTTCATTGACACAGATCACTGGAGACAGAGGGATCCAAGATACAGAGTCCAAGAGAGAAACTAACAGGTGATCTAGGACAGAAGTTAATCTTCATGGGATATTACGCTACACAGTATCAGCTGAAGTACCACCTACAAGTGTGAACTTCTCTGTGCCACTTTCAAACAGAACCATCTCCTTTCCTACTTCTTTGCAGGGACCCTCCACAAACCCACCATCAAGGCTGAGCCAGGTACTGTGATTACCTACAAAAGTGCCATGACCATCTGGTGTCAGGGGATCCTGGATGCAGAATTGTATACTCTTCATAAACAGGGAATCCCAAAGCCCTGGGTCACAAGGTCCCCAAAGAAGCCTAAAAATAAAGGCCAATTTCTCCATCCCTTCTGTGACAGAAAAACATGTGGGAATATATCAATGTTACTATTACAGCATGGCAGGCTGGTCAGATCACAGTGACACCCTGGAGATTGTGGTTACAGGTGAAGGGATAGTCAGGGTCTCAGTGGTCAGGCTCTGCTCTCAGGAGTATTGCCTTCCCACAGCCTATTCCTGAGGAATACTTTTGCTATATGTGCCCATGTAATAGAAGGTGTTTTTCTCCCCTCCTAGGAATCTAAAAAGATAACCCCAGCCTGTCATCCATACCAGGCTCTGTAGCAACCTCAGGAGGGAACATGACTCTGCAGTGTGTTTCATTTGTGAGATATGACTAGTTCATTCTCATCAAGGAAGATGAGTTCTCCATCTCCCTGGACTCACAGTATCTTTACACTAATGCACACTACCAAGTCATGTTCTCTATTTCTCCAGTGACCCTAGTCCACAGAGGAATATTCAGATGTTATGGTTACAATACCCCACAGTAGTGGTCAGTACCAGTGAGCCCCTAGAAATAAACATATTAGGTGAGTCATCCCCATCATTGTCCAAACTTGTGGAAGCCCTAAGTCTTTACCAGGACCTTGAAGTCCTGGAATGTTGCTAGGAGAGTTGACCAAAGGAATAATCTGCTTACTAAACCAGAGCCCCACAGCAGAGAAGCAGTGACGTGGGTAGGGCAGGAAGGGAGGTGATAAGTGTGCCTTTGGTTAAAACCTGCTCAACAGTCCTTATCTTGTCATCTTTCCTTTAGGGCTGTCCAAGAAGCCCACCCTGCTGACTCACCAAGGCCATATCCTGGATCTTTCAAAGAGTCTCACCCTGCAGTGTTGCTCTGATATCAACTATGACAGATTTGCTTTGTACAAGGTGGGGGAAAATGATTTCACCCAGAACCATGGCCAGTGGACTCAGGATGGTCTCTCCTTTGCCATCTTCACACTGGGCTCTGTGACTAACTCTACTGGTGGCCAGTACAGATGCTATGGTGCACACAACCTCTCTTCTGAGTGGTCAGCCTCCAGTGACCCCTTGGACATTCTGATCACAGGTGAGGAACCCATTAGATTTCTTAAATGGAAGTCTCTCCATAGGCTTTCTTAGGGAGCCTGAGAGGTGATGGCTGGGACAAGAGACAGAGAACTAACACAGGAACAGGTGCAGATGCAGGGGAACAGGAGAGATGCTCAGTCAGAGAAGAGAGAGAGTTAAAAATGCTCAGGGAACACCCAGGTGCAGTTTCAGCTCAGAACCATGAAGGCAACCTCTCTTCATCCCTCTCTTCTTTAGGACACTTTCCTGTCACTCCTGTTCTCTCAGTGAAGCTTAACTCTACAGCTCATCCAGGAGACTATGTGACACTTCTGTGTTGGTCAAGAAACCCTGTGGACACTTTCATTTTGGACAAGGAGGGAAAAGTCCATCAACCTCAGCGACAAAAAGCAATGTTCCAAGATTCGCAGTACCAGGCAGAATTCACCCTGAGTCCTGTGACCTCTGCTGTCTCAGGAAGCTACAGGTGCTATGGCTCTCAAAATTCATCGCTATACCTGTTGTCATATGCCAGTGCCCCTGTGGAGCTCATCGTTTCAGGTGAGGTGACCCTGAACTGTCAGACTGACACACAATCCAAACACTAGGAGAGCCCTTGACTTGGTGGTCAATAGGAAGTGTTAGTCAGAAGGCACTTTCCCTAGTAGGGAAGTGAATACCAGAGGTATTCCCTCAAGTTAATTTCCACTTCATAATTAATTGAAATCTAGAATCGGGGATCATGGGGAGGTTACAGGGCAGATGTAAGACATTAACACAGTCAGGATCTCTGGGTTAGCACCTAACCCTCATCCTTTCCTTGTTCTGTTTCCTAGGACCCACTGAAGCATCCAGCCTGCCACCATCGAAGTCCCTGCCACCATTGCAGCCCATGCCAACACCTGGTGAGTGTCGGGCACCTCTCTTAGGAAGTATGCTTCATCCCCAGGCTGCGTCACTACTCTTAACCCACTGAAGTCCTCATTTCTTTGTCACTTCAGCTTGTGAGTGTGGGAGGCAAACAACAATTTCAACAGAGACCCCATAATCCCAGAGTTTAGTTTGAAGGTGACATCCAGAGAGAGATGTTTATGCTCAGTCTAGAGAATGAGGGAAGAGAGTAAGATGGAGAACAGGGAACCCAGACACTCACCTCCACATTCTACCTCAAAGGCTCTAAGAACAAACTACTCACCTGCATGGAGTTAGGCCCCAGAGGCCTAATAAACACTGTGTTGGAAGGTGGGAGTCCCGATGGGAAACAGCTAGTTATGGACTTGTTACAGGAGATACTATAGATGCTGACTTGGAAAAGTCCTTCCCTTTCTGACCTGGCTGCTGTTTCTCTAAGTACAAAGGGGAAAAGCCTTGCCCACAAGCATTAAGTGCTTTTTCTCCGGTTCTGGCTTTGGTTATGGCCCCTTTTGACAGAGGAGGCCTCTCGCAAAGCTGATCCTCCAGTGTGTCTGTTCCACAATGGTAATGGCATGTGAAAGGGTGGGGCACAGGGCCATGATAGCACATTTAGCCTCCTTCCCTCCATCTCATGAGGCTCAACTCAGGTGGTGAGAACAGGGCTGTGAGTCAGAGTCCTGGGTTCAAACCCCAGCTTTGTCAGTTTCATGTAGAGGTTCTGAGGCAGGAGAATTGACTGGATAGGAAAACAGACAAGTCCATGTTACAGCACTGTGGAAATGGGAGATGACGGGTTAAATATCCAGCATGGGCCTGTCACACAATAGGTGCTCAGATAAGCACCAACATTCTCCACTCATGATGTCACTTGTGCCTCAGGACTGGACAACTGCCTAATGGCTCTGGTTGGAGTGTCTGTGGCCTTCCTCTTGTTACCATTCATCCTCATCTTCCTCCTTCTCCTACAAAGGCAACAGGGACAATTCAGAAAGAAAGGTAAGTAGGGTGTGGCTGACCTGGGTCTCAGGGAATTGTAGGTTCCCCTGTAGACCATTCAAGGAGAGAAGTTTAGAAATACTTGCAGATCTCAGATCAGATAGCACTTGATATCAGAATGTATGGGATTTTAGTTGTTCTGTGGACTTCATTGTGTCCTGGGACATTTGCTAACTCATCCATGTGTTATAAAGTCCCCTTTCTTCCTTGTCTGAAAATGTCTGGGGTGAGGAACTTACTACACTCTTATCTCAGACACTTTTTTTTTTCCCTTTCAGTCAAGAAAGAGACAGAATTCCACGTTTCTGCAGGGGCTGCAGAGCTAGTATCCAGAGATAGGGGCCCCCAGGAGAGGTAACTCATGGTCAGGGGCATAGACCCACACCTGCCTGACACAACTCACTGCCAACTCACATTTTCTTTCTCTACAGATCAAACAGAGCCGCTGACACCCAGGAAGAAAATCTTTGTGAGATAAAGAGGGTCCTAGGGAGGGAGACATCTGAAGACTTAGCATTGCAGGGGTGGTGGAGATGCTCTGGGGTCTTTGCTGATTGGCCTGAACTTCACACTATGAACCCAAAGATATCAAAACATGCCCTGTTTTCTCTCTTTCCAACTGGGGCAATGCAGGAAACTAGGGCCTGAGTCTTCCCTAGACTCAGTTCTGAAGATATTCTGTTTGTTCTTCTATGACAGATGCTTCAGTGGAGGACATACAACTTGAGGATGGTGTGGAACTGCGAAGTTTGGTGAGGTCCCTCTCCCCGATCTACAGTGCTAAGAAATTAGGGCCCAGATGGTTCCAGGAGTTCCTGTTTTTCCTCTCTCAGCTCTCAGCAACATCCACAGCTGCCCACTCCGTTCAGCGAGCACTGTCTGCTTCTTATATGCTCTGGTCTCACTCTCCCCTGACTCTCTTGGGACCACCTGGTTCCTCCCTCACGGCCCCTTTCTGGCTCCTCAGCAGCTCTCTGGTTGTTAGCATGCTCCTGGGAACTCAGAGATCACAGGACTAAATGAATCCAGATGGCCCCATTACCTCCACTCACCCAGCTGTGACATGAAATCCCTTTTTTAATCGGGTCTTCCTGCATGGATCAGAGTTAGAACAAAGAACGCACTCCCAATCAGAATTAGGCCATGTGGTAATAAATGCAGAGGTGCAAACTGTTTCAGAAAAACAAAGCAGAACAAGAAGGTGAGAGCAGAAAGGGCCAGTGTGAATTACAATGGAGGACTCTGAAAGGTGTCTTTTGAGGAGAAAATTCACAAGGACAAGTTCATAAATATATCTAAGGGACCAGCAACTTTAGTAGGGGACACAGTGGGACAAAGGAAACTGAGCAGGAACATTTTTTTAAATTTTATTTATTTATTAAAGATTTCTGTCTCTTCCCCGCCATCGCTCCCATTTCCCTCCCCCTCCCCCAACCAAGTCCTCCTCCCTCGTCAGCCCAAAGAGCAATCAGGGTTCCCTGCGTGGCGGCAGACATACGGGGTTTTGTTTTGTAGTTCATTTTATGTGTAAGGGTGTTTGGCCTACATATATATTTGTATGTCCCATGTCTTACTGTTGCTGCAGAGATCAGAGGATCATAGCAGACTCCTTAGAACTGGAATTACAAATGATTTTAGGTAGTGATGTGGGTAGTAGGAACTGAACCTGGGGACTCTGCAAGAGTAGCCAGTGCTCTTAACCACTGAGCCATCTCTCCAGCCCCAAGAAGCTTCTGTTCCAAGAAGTTTGACTGTGTGGCTGGAGGCAAGACAGCAAGGATTAGAGTGTCAGAATAAGAGACCAGAACTGTAGAAAGGAAATCAAAATAGTTCAATCTGGCCATGCAGTGGAAACTGTCCAGAGAACATCTATAGCAGAACAGAGAGACACTTTATCTCACTGTTTTCTGTGCTACAGAGGCCAATGGAGATAGGCCACCTGGGAGATACATCCACCAAGATGAAATTCTCCAGGCTCAGGAGGGTAGGAGCTATCTTACCTTCTTCTCTGATGTCAAGAGAATTACTTGACAGTAAAGGGCAAGCAAGTAAAGGGCAGTAAGATGGACACTCAGGTACATCCTGTTTCTCCCTAGCCCTGAAGGTTCTTCCAAGCCATACACTTCCGTCTTACTCTTTCCCACTCCAGGTCATACCATCTGAAGAACCTCAGGATGTGACCTATGCCCAGCCACTCAGGACATTCAGACAGGAGACAGCTGCACTTCCTCCCTCCCAGGCAGGGCAGGTGTCAGAGGAGCCAGTGTATGTGATGCTCTCGTAGCTACTAATCCATAGGCTATTCCCAAGAACAAGAATGCATGACCCTCTGCACACAAGCATGCTTAACAGAGACTTCTAAAGAATGGTGGCAGTTTTTTGGAACCTGTCTGCACTTTAAATAAATTTACACATTTTGGAAATAAAGCAGGAGATTTCTCAATTATCAAGTGAAATGAAATTAAATATAAGGGGTATAAAGTTTTTCCAGCCCAACAAGTCTCTCCATTGGCATAATAATCCAAACCAGATGAAATCAAATAAAAAACTTTTTAATTAACAATTTTATTAAAATTATTAAAAATTTCCACTTCTTCCCCTCCTTCCATTTCCCTCCACCTCCCCCCCCACTCTGCCTCCCCCTCCCTCTCCAGTCCAAAGATCAATCAGGGTTCCCTGCCCTGTGGGAAGTCCAAGGTCCTCCCCCCTCCATCCAGGTCTAGGAAGGTGAACATCCAAACAGACTAGGCTCCCACAAAGCCAGTACATGCAGTAGAATCAAAACCCAGTGCCATTGTCCTTGGCTTCTCAGTCAGCACTCATTGTCAGCCATGTTCAGAGAGTCCTGTTTGATCATATGCTCCATCAGTCCCAGTCCAGCTGGCCTTGGTGAGCTCTCATAGATCAGCCCCACCATTTCAGTGGGTGGACACACCCAGATGGAAATAGAAAATGTAAGACTTTAAGACTGACAATTCTGAACCCTCTCATCCTCCATGCCATAGTGCTTCCCCTCCTCCCCTGGACCTAACAGCTACACATGCACGTACTCAGTTCCTGAACAATTACCCATATACATATGTTTTGATTCAGTCCCCTGGGAAATGGAGTCAAAATGACCTCTTCCCTCATCTGATCTGGCAACAGCTCTCCAGCCAATTATTGGTAATAGCCCTTTTGAATAAGCCAATCATATTAATCAAAGAACAACCCACCTTGATTCTGAGGCCTTCTCCTTTAAAAGTAGCCTATACCAGCTATTTGAGGTTTCTCTGCTTTTCAAATGCTGAGGGACCTTCATGCAGAATTAATAAAATCCTCATGCTTTTGCATTGGCTGTGGTGTGAGAGGTGGTCTCCTCGGTGTTTGGATGCTAGAGTCCAACATTTGGTTCCCTGACTGGGAAATGAGTCGCTCCCAGACACTCTAAACCCAGTTGGAGGTATAAAGAAACGAGCTCATTTTTATGTCTGTCTGTTTGTGTATTGTGTTTCTGTTTCTGTGTAATTGTGAATCAGTAATTTGAGAATTGTACCTGCACAGGGTCAGTATTAAAATGGGGCTAAGGGAGGAAGCAGACATGTTTTGAGATTCCTTGCCCTAGCCCTGAAAGATGTTTCACAGGTATTTATGGGAGGGAGGGGTGACCAGGTCTCCCTAATCTCCAGGGGAGGCATGATCCTCCATCTGTATTTTCAGATCTGCTGCTGCGAGGCTTCTGATTTTGAGTCTATGTCTGTCTTTTTGTTCTTGTGTATTTTCAGTTCTACACCAGAGTGGTGGTGAGAGCACTAGCTTCTGGTTTTGAGTTTGTGTCTGTCTCTTTGTATTTTTGTTTCTGTATGTCAGTTTGTCTTTGTTAAAATCCACCTGCAGGAATTCAGAACCTGGCACCAGCCCCTTGGCCATCATTAGTTCCCCTGATTCCGAAAGCAGCCCCACTGCTGGGGGAGGCAGTGGCTGCCTGCCCCTCCGTGAGCCTTTTTGTCTTCTCTCTTTCCTGTACAGGAGCAAAAGATACCCAAAATCCAGGCACCTCCGGTTCTTCCTGATATCCAGCCAATATCCAGGCAAGCATTCAGGCATGGCAGACTTCTCCCTCCTCCTTCCCCAGAGGAAGCACTTTGTTCCTGAGGAGCCCCGCTGGTCAGGCCCTAGCCCTGAAAACTTCAGCACTCAGTGTCTATGCTGGGACAGAGGAAGGATGTCCGCTAGGGAGAGAGTGACCTCCCAAGCATTTCCCCTTCGCTCAGTAGCAGGACAATTTACAATACTGTCTTTTTCTTCCTCTAATCTTTACTTATAACCTTTCCTTCTCTTGGGACTCTCAGGCCATGACCGGGCTTATAGACTCTGCTTTGGTTACCCATCAGCCCACTTGGGATGATTGTCAGTAGCTTTTACAGGTGCTCCTAACCACAGAGGAAAAACAGTGAGTTCTCTTTGAAGCTCAAAAGAATGTCCCAGGAGCTGACAGCAGGCCAACCCAATCACGGAACGAGATAGAGGATGAGACACCTTCCCTCTGACTTGACCCGAATGGGACTTCAATACTCCAGCTGGTAGGGAAGCAGCTCTGTCTTTATTGCCAGATTCTGATTGGCGGGTCTAAAATAGGGGGGTTGCAAAGCATCCCACTAATTTGCTAATTTGGCTAAGGTAAGAGCAATAGTACAAAGGTCTGATAGTAGTCCTGCAGGATTTTAAAAAGACTATTGGAGGGGTACAGGATGTAAACCCCTTTTGATCCCATGGCAGCAGATCACCAAGCCAATGTAATGATGTCTTTTATAGGCCAGTCAGCATCAGACATTCGTAGCAAGTTGCAGAGAATGGAGGGACTGCAGAGATGCTCCCTCCAGGACTTAGTAAAGGAAAAAAATTAGACAGATAGGGAGGCAACAGAAGATGACAGCTGCAGAGACTGCGCACCTCAGACAGAGCAGCCCCTGAGTGGCAGAATGCAGACTTCAGTGAGGAGGAGTGGCCCTACAGGACTTTGGGCTCGAGACACTTCCCAAAGCAGCTGCTGAGCAGAAGTGGGTCGGAGAAGGGCGCCGAGCCCACCTGAGAGGCCTACGCAGCGGCCACAGTGACAGTACTGAAACCCCCCCACCCCCTTGCTTATGCTGTGCACCCAGGTGTCCGATTCTGGGGTATACTGGGAAAAAAGGGGAGGAGTTCCCCCTCGCTGTGTAAAGCATTTGACTATGGACACAGGACTGCTGATTATTCCTGAGTGTCCCACGCTTTTATTAAAAAAAGACCTGTTGGAGACTTTGACTTCCGCTACTGTTCTCCAGGACTGTAAAGAAAAGCAGGCTGCTCTCTGCCTTCGCCATGCCCACCTTGCTGAGGAAGGCTTTGCAGCCACTGCCAGCTGAATCCTCCCAACTGCCTTGGTCACAGCCCAAGCCTAGGAACTCTGCTTACAGCTGCCTGCCCCACGCAGGCAGCAACTGACTGAAGTGAGGAGGGGCTGGGAGATGCCAGAGGCCAATTCCAAACAGTCTTCTCAAGCTGCTTGCAAGTTTCACAGAGAACAACTGCCCCCAGCTCCCAGACCGCAGCTGTGGGAAGCCTGGGGTACAGCAATGCTCAAGCAGAGCCGGTTTTGGTGGCACATGCTAGTAGGATTTGCTAAAGAAGGCAGGGCAACAACAGTGGCTGAGCTTAAAGGGACATTGGCCCTTTTAAGAAGCTTTTTCTTACCAGGACAAAAAGATCAAAGAAGAAATCTTCCTGAGATTTGGCCTGCCCAAGGTAATCGAGGTTAATGGTAAACTGCCTTGTTGCCCAGAACAGTCAGGGCATGGGTAAGACTGGGGAAAATTATATTGTGCATACAGACCCCAGAGTTCAGTACAGGTAAAAAGGATAAGTAAAACCCCTAACCAAATTAGCCTTTGGAATCTGGCACTAGAGACTGGGTACAGCTCCTTCCCCTAGCCCTGTTCTGGGTGCAGAACACCCCATCTCAGCTTGGACTTACCCCCTATGAGATCCTATATGGGGGGCCTCCCCCATTGGCCTCCTTTAGGGCCCCTCCTGACCCACTTGCTCACAAACCTGATCTGCAGGCTCAGTTGAAGGCTCTCCAGACTCCAAGCTCAGGCATAGAGACCCCTGGCTACCCTGACACCTGGAAATCTGGCATTCGTTCTAGAATTGATGCCTGGGGTATATCTGGAGGGACATGAGAAAAGCTGCAGCACCCCACAGCCAGAACAGCAGCTGCTCGCTCATACCTGCAATCCATGCCTCCTCAAGCCCTTGCTTTGATACCCCTGCCCTCACCCCTGATTTCTGTGAACTAGTGGCAGGGCTAGCCTCCTGGGATATCCAAGATACATATCCCCCACAGCTGCCTCTGGAGGCTGGCAGAAGATTTTCCCCTGGAGGAGATATTTGGGTGCGGGGATCCAGAACACATATGCCACTTGAAAACTGTCGGTAAAAATTATACTTCCCCAAAACAATGCTCCATGTGGATCATAGGGACCTGTGACATCTCCCCCACTTGTCTCCCAGGGGCAAGCAGCAGGACTGTCTCCATGGGTGTCAGGAAGGACTTGGGGCATGCAATGGTATTTCCCAAACAGAATACAGCAGCAAGATTTAGGTGCCACCTTCACCATTAAGCCCGGGCACCCGGAAATCTTGCACCTGTTCCAGTGGACGGTATTGCAGCCTGGATCCATGCATCTCATGTCAAGCCTACACCTCCAGGACCTTCCACATGAAAGCTTCAGTGTACCCCAAATCCTCTCAAGGAGGCCTGATTCTGCCAGGCTTGCTGATCTTTGCCCTGATGTTTATACCTTAAGACTTAACCTGGACTCTGACTCACTTTGAGACTGGACAAACCTTAAGGCTAGCCACTGGAGTTCATCCCCTGGATACCTGGCTCCCCCAGCTAACTTTTGACCTGTGTGTTTTAGAAAAAGACTGTTGGGAGGATACTGAGCAAATGCCCGGAAACTTTTATGAATGATATATTTGTTCGGGCGGGGGGGGGGGAGCAAACTCTGCAGTATGGGGTGCCTAAAGTATTTTATTATGCTGCCTGGGGATGTGAAACCAATATCAATGTTCCTGGTTGGGAAATAGCAAAAAGGACTTACTTAGTCTTTCACCCGTACCACACCAGGGGAATTTGAAATCACAATCATTTTCACTGAAAAGGAGAAAAAGAGCTAACTGGTTAACAGGCAATACTTGGGGTTCACGGTTGTATGATCCAGGAAGGGAAGACATAGTGATTCTGTTCACCCTGTGAGTTGTAACACCTCCCATAACCATAGTACTAGGGCCCAATCCAGTATTACCTGACCAGGGCCAGCTAGCCCCGGCTGAGGTAGCCCCCCTTGCCAGAGCCCTGGGCCCTACTCCTAGTCCTAAGCAACCATATCAGCTCTTATATGTTCTGTAATTGGGAACAAACCTAACTCTCCCAAGTCCCAGGACAACAGCTCTCTATTGATCATGATGGGCCTACAACACTGGTTTGTTAATTTCTGTGTAGAGATCCAATTAGTCCTCCAAATTTACTAATATCTCAAGATTGAGATATTTGGCCAAATAAGAGGAGGGAATGTAAGACTTTAAGACAATTCTGAAGCCATTTCTGACAATTCTGAATCCTCTCAGCCTCTGTGCCATAGTGCTTCCCCTCCTCCCCTGGGAACCAAGGACCTAACAGCTATACATGCATGTGCTCAGTTCCTGAACAATTACCCATGTATGTATGTTTTGATTTAGTCCCCTGGGAAACGGAGTCAAAATGACCTCTTAACCTCATCTGATCTGGCAACAGCTCTCCAGCCAATTATTGGTAATATCCCTTTTGAATAAGCCAATCATAATAGTCAAAGAACAACCCACCTTGAGTCTGTGGCCTTCTCCTTTAAAAGTAGCCTATACCAGCTATTTGAGGTCTCTCTGCTTTGGGTTTAAAAGTATGTATTTAAATTTTAAGTGGTGGAGTATGCCACACATACGCCATAATCTAAGAGTAGGTAGGAGTCAGAAAAACTCATGGGACTCAAGAGAGTCTCTTGAGTATTAAACTCAATACATCAGGCTTAGTAGCAAACACCATTAACATACTGTAATCTCTCTGAAATATACTTTATTTCTTAGACAATGTTAATGAAACTGTTATCAACAAATGTTTACATTTATACTTCAGAATGAACAGGAAATAAAACACAACGTACATGACTATCATTTTCACATGTAAATAGATATATTCTTTCAGTTGTCCTGTGTACAAATATATTTAGATGAAAATACTGTTAATTATTTTAAACTTTTATTGATACAATATTATTACAATTTTTATCACTGCACAGGTGAGATGGTACAAAGGGAAAAATTCACGAAGAAAAGGCCATTAACCTGTATATGACCACAGAATCCCTAAAAGGATGGTAGAGAAAAAACTCCAAAAACATACCTGATTTTCCTTCACAATAGCTACAAATAACATAAAATATCTCGGAGAAAGTCTTAAACAAACAAGTGGAAGACTTCTATAACAAGAACTTTAAATCATTGAAGAAAGAAATTGAAGAAGACACCAGAAAGTGAAAGATCTCCCAAGCTCTTGGGTAGGTAGAATTAACATAGTAAAAATGGCAATCTTACCGAAAGCAATCTACAGATTCAATGCAATGCCCTCAAAATCCCAGAATAATTCTTCACAGACCTTGAAAGAACAGTACTCAACTTCATATGGAAAAGCAAAAAACCAGTATAGCCAAAACAATCCTGTACAATAAAAGAATTTCTGGAGGCATCACAATCCCTGACCTCAAACTTTACTACATAGCTAGAGTACTGAAAACAGCCTGGTATTGGCAGAAGAACAAACAGGAGGACCAATGGAACCCAATAAAAGGCCCAGATATTAATCCACACACCTTTGAACACGCTACAATAGTATGTCTTTCCAGTATGAATTATTTCACGTCTTTTCAGATGACTGTTACTTAAAAAGGCTTTCCAACATTGCTTACATTCATAGGATTTCTCCCCAGTATGATTTCTTTCATGAAATTTCAGATGACTGCTACTTATAAAGGTTTTACCACATTGCTAACATTAATAGGGATTCTATGCAGTATGGTTTCTTTCATGTCTTTTCAGGTAACTACTGCATTTAAAGATTTTATCACATTGTTTGCATTTATAATGGTTCTCTCCAGTATGAATTCTTTCATGTCTTTTCAGATGACTGTTACATGAAAAGGCTTTATTACATTGCTTACATTCATAGGGTTTCTCTCCAGTATGGATTCTTTCATGTCTCTTCAGATGACTGGTACACAAAAAGGCTTTATCACATAGCTTACATTCATAGGGTTTCTCCCCAGTATGAATTCTTTCATGTATTTTCAGAATACTGCATAATGTAAAGGCTTTACCACAATGCTTACATTCATACGGTTTCTCCCCTATATGTATTCTTTCATGTCTTTTCAGATGGCTATTACTAAAAAAGGTTTTATAACATTGCTTACATTCATAGAGTTTCTCCCCAGTATGATTTCTTTCATGTATTTTCAGATACCTGTCACATACAAAGGTTTTACCACATTGCTTACATTCATAGGGTTTCTCTCCAGTATGATTTCGTTCATGTATTTTCAGAAACCTGTTACATACGAAGAATTTACCACATTGCTTACATTCATAGGGTTTCCCTCCAGTATGAGTTTTTTCGTGTATTTTCAGATTACCAGTACATGTAAAGGCTTTACCACATTGCTTACATTCATAGGGTCTCTCTCCAGTATGAATTCTTTCATGTGTTTTAAGATAACCGCTACATGTAAAGGCTTTACCACATTGCTTACATTTATAGGGTTTCTCTCCAGTGTGATTTCGTTCATGTATCTTTAGGTAGCTTCTATTTCTAAAGGCTTTACCACATTGCTCACATTCATAGGGTTTCTCTCTAGTATGAATTCTTTCATGTATTTTCAGATAACTGTTACATGTAAAGGCTTTACCACATTGCTTACATTCGTAGGGTTTATCGCCAGTATGATTTCGTTCATGTAGTTTCAGATGACTGACATGTATAAAGGCTTTACCACATTGCTTACATTCATAGGGTTTCTCTCCAGTGTGATTTCGTTCATGTATCTTTAGGTAGCTTCTATTTCTAAAGGCTTTACCACATTGCTCACATTCATAGGGTTTCTCACCAGTATGAATTCTTTCATGCATTTTCAGATTAAAATTAAGTGTAAAGGATTTGCTACATTGTTTACATTTGAAGCGTCTCTCTACAGTCTGAGTGCTTTCATACTTTTGAAGATGATTATGATGTCTAAAAGTTTTACCACACTGCTTATATTCATTGTGATTCTCTCCACTTTTTGTTCTTTCAGGTATTTGGTGATAACTGTGATGTGCAAAGTCTTTGCCACATCGAATACCTTCATAGGATTTCTGTCCAGTATGACTTGAGTCTTGAAAGGGAAGATTATAATAATCTTCACAGTGACATGAAAAGTTTTTACCACACTGCTTGCATTCATAGTGATTCTCTATAGGACGACTTCTTTTGTGCCTGTGAAGAAACCTGGCATGAGTAAATTCCTTACTACAATCAATACACTGATGCATCATTTTTTTCTTCTGAAGTCTACCATATAATCAATAAGTTTGATACGCTGGAGAGTTACCATATAGATTTTATTCATAGGGCTTACCTTCCATGTAAGTTCTTTACTGCAGGTGTTAACAGGAATCAGAACTATGGGTATTATTAAATTTTTTGATTCACTGGGTTCAACTTTAATATGGGCTGTTTTCTGTGTGCTAAGATACCTGTGGTAGTTCAGGCATTTAATACATTATTCACATTTATAGTGTCCCTCTCCCAGGTGAGTTTCTTTACATCCTTGAAGTAAACTGTAAGAATTCACACCTTTACTACCCTGACTGCATTCATAATGTAATCCTATAGTAGGAGTCACGATACATTTGCAGTGTGAATCAAGACAAACACAGCCATTTCCACATTTCTTGTGCTCATATGGATTTACACTAGTGTATGGTCTTTGATGAATCCCAAAAGAAGTCAGGAAACCAAATTATCACATTCAATAAGGCTACTCATAGAGGGGATTACAGAACTTCTAAATGATTGGGAGATATAGATACTTTACTGCCTTCCATATCCCTAAGGATCACGAGGCTTGTATCCAGACTGGCATATGATATGCCTATAAGTAAACAACAAATGAAATATAAATGAAATACATTTCATTTACAAACATTAGTTTTGCTCCTCATTGAGATGAACTATAGAGATTAAACTTCCAGCAGACAACAACCCTCTTGACTCTCATATTCTGAATTCTCAATATTTTTGTAAGTCATTACATGAGTAGCTATATACCAGTAGCTTTTGATAGACTACTTCCTTCTTGGAATTTTTTGTATATACAGTGATGACCTGATCAACATCCAATCATTTTATAACACCTGAATGATATAAAACCGAACGAGTGGACAGTTTTATGACATAGCATTCAAATGACATAATAAATAATTATATCTGTTAATCCATTGCTTCCATTACTTGTTACTTAGAATACTTCTTTGAAAGCATGGATAAGCTACCTGACATTAAAGTAAATAGTGTTGTGAGAATTTAATAATCATTTAGAAACAAAACTATGCTTATTGGGCCTGGAGAGATGGCTCAGTGGTTAAGAGCACTGTCTGCTCTTCCAGAGGTCCTGAGTTCAATTCCCAGCAACCACGGGGTGGCTCACAACCATCTGTAATGAGATCTGGCGCCTTCTTCTGGCGTGCGGGCATATCTGGAGGCAGAATGTTGTATACATAATAAATAAATAATAAATCTTTTAAAAAAACTATGCTTATTTCCCTCCTTGTTTTTCATTAAAACTGAATAACACATCAACATGAAGTCAGATACATATTTATATCAATTTTCCCATGAAAATTACCATCCATGTCTTCTAAAATGCTGATAATATTCTTCCATATTCTCATCTTCCCATTTGTAGCCTAAAATAGACCAACAGAAATTGTATGATATACTATTGGAATACACTCAAAATCTAATACAATCTTTGGCAAACCTTAGAACCATGCCTGACTTATTTACATTCTTCCTCTTTCATGATCAAGATCACTGCGCAGCATCAAAAAACCAGAAAAATTTGTCCATTTATCTTAAAAATTGAAAAAATACTCAGTATTACCTATAGCCGTGAGATTTCTGTAGGTTTCTACCATCACATCTTTGTAGAGACTCTTCTGGGAAGGAGCAAGCAAAGTCCACTCTTCCCTAGTGAAGTTCACATGCACATCCTCATAGGTCACTGCATCCTAAAATATTCCATAAGTGTGTATTACAGAAATTCTGGTAATGACAGCATTGGATATGTATTCTTCATTGACAGCATACTCACATAAATCTGAGTGATTTCCACATAAATCTGAGTGATTACATGAAACAGAAGTTTTAATCTAATCACTTAGTCAATTAGAAGGAATCTAAAAATAAGGTTTACCCCTGCCATTTCTGAGCCCACTGAACAAGATTTATATTTGCAAGAAAAATATCAACACACAGATAGGCATGTAGAGAGAGAGACAGAGAGACACACAGAGAGAAAGTGTTGTGTGTGTGTGTGTGTGTGTGCTAGAAGGAGAAAAGAAGCAAAGAGATCAACAGAATTAGTTTCTATGAGATAATTGTATTAATAATTGCTACCTACAAAAAAAAAAAAAAAGAATGAGTAAGCAGAGTGTATTGGCTCAAGCCTTTAGTTCCAACACAGGAGACAGAAGCAGGTGAATCATTAAGATAGAGGTCTTCATTATATCTGCAATTAATTTCATGAAAGTCAAAGTTACATAGTAAGAGCATGTCTATAACAAAAATAAAATAAATGAACATAGAAATGAAATAGACAAAACTCAAGTCTCTCTAAGTTTCTGCCTCAAACCCACCTATTCACCTGCTATATTGGTGGAACTCTGAAACACAGCTTGCTCCAATAGTGAGGGGACCTAAGAGGTAAGTGAACAGCCATTCAGCAGTATAGCCCTCTCTAGGACCTTCCCTGTGGGGGAAAAAAAAAAACCCAGGTCCCTCCCCCAACTTCCTTGCCTTTTCTAGCCAGTCAGCAGGGAATTTCTTGTGGGAAGACTCCCTCAAAATCCAACCTCATCCACTGGACACTCCAAGCTACTAGTCACACCATGCCTAAGAGCTGAGAGCTTGCTACAATAGTGAGGGGAACAAGAGAGAAGACCAAGAAAGCAAACCAGGAGAGAAAACCAAGAGAGCAGGCTTATAGAGACCTCAGAGGCTTTCTGAGACAGACATTGACAGGACAAAGCAGGCCAAGAAAAACTCCCAAACATTCAGACAGTCACTGCAAGGATTGAACCAAGATGCCAGCCTCATTTGAAGGAAGAGATGGGTAGCCACCAATGCAAGAATTCCTCCAACAACCTAAAAAGCAACATGGTAACATCAGAACCCAGTAGTCACCCAGCAGGAAGACTTGATCATACTAACCTAAAAAAAAAAAAAAACAGAAGAAAATGACTTTAAACATAACTTTATGAAAATGATGGAGACCTTTAAAGGGGAAATGAAAAACTCCCTTACAGAAATGGAGGGAAAAACAAACAAAAAATTGAAAAAAAATCCTCAAAGAAACAAACAAACAAACAAAAAAAAAACAAGAAAAAACAAGAAAAAACAAACAGGTGAAGCAAATATTTCAAGACTGAGAGGTAATAAAAACAACACAAACCAAGGGAATTCTGGATATGGAAAATCTGGGTAAACAAACAGGAACTACAGAGACAAGTATAACCAACAGAATACAACAGATAGAAGAAAGAATTTCAGGTGCTGAAGATATTATAGAGGAAATAGACTAATTGGTCAAAGAAAACATTGAAAAGGATCCTGCCCCCTGCTGTATATAAGAAACACATCTCAACCTTAAAGACAGACACTAACTCAGGGTTGGGAAAAGGTTTTACAATCAAATGGACCTAAGGAACATGCGGGTGTAGCTATCCTAATATCTAACTAAATAGATTTCAAACTAAAATCAATCAGGACAGATGGAGAAGGACACTTTACCTCATAACAGGAACAATCCATCACGATGAAGTCTCAATCCTGAACATCTATACTCCTAATACAAGAGCATCCACATTTGTAAAAGAAAGATTATTCAAACTTAAATTGCACATCAAACCCCACACACTAAGAGTAGGAGACTTTAACACTCCTAGTTTGCCAATGGACTGGTCAACCAAACAGAAACTTAACAGAGAAATAAGAGAACTAACATGTTATGAATCAAATAGACTTAACAGACATCTATAGAACATTCCACCCAAACATAGAAGAATATACTTTCTTCTCAGCACCTCATGGAACCTTCTCTAAAATTGATCACATACTTGGTCACAAAGCAAACCTCCACAGATACAAAAACAAAAACAAAAAAAAAAGGAGTAATCCCTTGTATTTTATCATATGGTTTAAACTTATATTTTCACAAGACTACTCTCATGGAAATTGAACAGTGAATTACTGAACAACCCTGGGTCAAGAAAGAAATTAAAGACTTCCTTGAATTCAATGAAAATGAAGGCACAACGTGCTGTGGGACAATGGTTTGTGCTGTGGGAAAATGGTTTAACCTGTGAAGATTTGTTTCTTGTATGTGTTTAGTAAAATGCTGATTTGCCAGTACCCAGGCAGGAAGTAGAGGCATGGCAAATGTAGAAAGTAGAGGTGGGCCAACAAGAACGAGAGGAGAATCCTGGTAAGAGCAAGAATTCAGTCTGCAGTTGCCACCCAAATGCAGAGGACGCAAGATGTCACTGACTCGCAGAAAAAGGTACTAAGCCACGTGGCTATCAGAGATAAGAATATGCCGAATATAAGTTACAAGAGTTGCCAGAGACAGTGATCTCCACTGGAAAAGGTACATGGAGTAACCTCTGAGCAAGGGAGCCAGAGCCAGAGACCGCTGAGGGTCCAGACTTGAATCTGGAATTTTCAAGGGAGTAGACCTAAGCAAGGACCCCTGTGGGTCTGGGTGTGAGTCTAGGACCTCCCAGGAGCTAGGCCTGAGCCAGGACCTCTGCCAGTCTGGGCATGAATCTGTGACATCCGAGGGAGTAGGCAAAAACCAGAGATCTCTGCAATGCCAGGCACGAATCTGGGACTTCAGAGGGAGTAGGACTGAGCCAGGACCTCTGTGGGTGCAGGCAATGGTCTGGGACATCAAAGGGAACAGGCAGAAACCTGGAACCTCTGCAGGTCTGAGCATGAGTCTGGGACTTCTAGGGAGTAAACCTGAGCCAAGCCCTCTGCAGTTATAGGCACACCAGAGCCTGGAAAATCTGAGGCAGTAGACCAGAGCAAGAGACCTTTGCAGGACCAACTCCAAGCCAGGGACATCTGCAGGAGTGGAAACAGAGCAAGATTTACAGGAACAGGTCAAATCCAGGAACCTAAACCAAAGTAAGCCTGAGACAGCAAACTCCAAGGGAACGGAGCAGAGCACAGGAGCACCGAGCTATCTCCAGGAACATAGAGTAACCAATGGGGTAAATAGAATTGTGGCACTGACTGTACCACAAGGAACAGCCATTTGAGCTTTGTATTCACTGGCACCTAAAATATTAATCAACAGAATCTCAGATAGCTCCAACCACACCTATTAAAGGAAAAGATGAAAAGAAAAGGTAAGAACACATGCAACACCACAAAGAGCAACACAACACCAGTAAAACTTAAAGACTCTACAACAGCAAGACCTGAACAACCAAATATAGATGAAACAAAAGAAAACGACCTAAAAAATAATTTCAAGAGAATGTTTGGAACTCTTAAAGAGGAAATGAGAAATTCCCTTAAAGAAATAGAGAAAAAGACAAACAAAAAATTGGAAGACATCGGCAAATCACTTAAAGAAAACCAAGAAAAAGACATCAAACATATGAAAGAAACTATTCAAGACTAGAAAACTGAAATAGGGAAAATAAAGAAAACACAACGTGTTACAGAAACAGAAATCATGAGAAAACAATCAGGAACCACAAATGCAAGCATGAACAGCAGAATACAAGAGATGGAAGAGAGAATCTCAAGCGCTCAAGATACAATAGAGGAAATAGACTTGTCAGTTAAAGAAAACATTAAATCTAACAATAGCTTAACCCAAAAATACCCAGGACACCATGAAAAGGCAACATCTAAAAATAATAGGTATAGAAGAAGGAGAAGAAGTTCAATTCAAAAGCACAGAAAATATATTTAACAAAATCTTAGAAGAAAAATTTCCCAAACTATAGAAATATATGCCTATGAAACTACAAGAAGCTTACATAACACCAAATAGACTAGATAAAAAAAAAATCCGCTCGCCACATAATAATCAAAACACTAAACATACAGAGTAAAGAAAGAATATTAAGAGCTGCAAAAGAAAAAGGCCAGTAACATATGGAGGTAGACCTATCAGAATTAAACCTGATTTCTAATTGGAGACAATGAAAGCCAGAAGGTGGTGGTCAAGCGATATGCAAAGATTAAGAGACCAGCCCNAGTAAAAATGGCAATCTTACCAAAAGCAATCTACAGATTCAATGCAATGCCCAGCAAAATCCCAGCAAAATTCTTCACAGACCTTGAAAGAATGGTACTTAACTTCATATGGAAAAGCAAAACAAAACAAAACAAAAACAGTACAGCCAAAATAATCCTGTACAGTAAAAGGACTTCTGAAGGCATCACAATCCCTGACTTCAAACTCTACGTGCTAGCATAACTGGATATCAATCTGTAGAAGGATAAAAATAGACCCATATCTATCACCATGCACAAAACTCAAATCCAAATGGATCAAAGACTTTAACATAAAGCCAGCTACACTGAACCTTATAGAAAAGAAAGTGGGAAGTACACTTGAATGCATTGACAGTTGCATGACTGGGGTAGACTGAGGGGCCACTCGCAGTGGCACCAGGATTTATTCCTACTGCATGTACTGGCTTTTTGGGAACCTATTCTCTTTGGATGTATACCTTGCTCAGCCTGATAAAGTAGGGAGGGCCTTGAACCTTCCACAGTGCAGGGTACCCTATCCTCTCTTAGGATTGGATAGGGGTGGGGTGGAAGGGTGTGTGGAGCGAATGGAAGGCAGGAAGGGAGTGGGAACTTGGATTGGTATTTTTCTTTTAAATCTCATTTTATATAAAAAGGCTAATCTAAAAAAAATAAACTGTAAGAATAATAAGATCTAGCTAAACCTGCGTGCATGCTTAAACAGTTACAGTTTCCAATGTAAGCAATGCAAACACTGAACATGAAAAAATAGCACAGTGCAGGAGAGATGGGTCAGCAGTTAAGTGTGCTTGTTGGTCTTTCAGAAGAGGGAGTCTCAATAGCCAGTGCTTACATGGGTGCTCCCAAGTATTCATAATTCCAAGTCCAGGGATTCTGCAGACATCTTCTGATTGTTGTGAGTATCAGTCAGCAGTGTCATGTATATCTGTGCATGCAGGCATAGATTCATATTTACTAAAAAAAATTAAAAATTCACGAATGGTGGTAAGACTGTCACACACTGTCATCCCAAGACTCTGGAGGCTCATACAGTCTTAAGGTCATGTATGTAAGACACCCTGGAATAAAGAATTACACACTCTGAGAATGTTCAAGGTCAAGATATTGGTAAAGCACAGCAGAACAGTATGTGCTTGACATAAACAAAACCATACATTCTAGGCCAATCTGTCAGTAATATAGAAATGAAAAAGCAAGGTGTGCTGGAGCATACCTTTAATCCCAGACCTGTGGAGGCAGAGGCAGTTAGACCTTTGGGTTCCAGGACAGCCTAGACTACAGAGATACTTTTAAAGAGGCAAGTGGATCTCAGTGAGTTCACATCCAGCATGGTCTACAAGTTGATTTCAAGGACAGTATAGGCTATGCAAGGAAACACTGCCTCAAAAAACAGGAAAGACAGGACTACAAAAGAATCCCTGTGATCAAAAAAAAAAAGTATGTACCTTAAGAATAAAAAAAAAACGATTAAAAATATCATCAAGCTAGCAAAATGACTTACGAATAAAAAGCAATTGTTCCTGGGGTATCCTGGGGTAATTCACAGACATCGTCTATAATGGTGGTGTACACATGAGAACACAAGAAAGGAGGATTGTGATTAATGTTGACCACAAGAAAGTAGACACTAAGAAAAGGCTATGGGGTGAGGCTACAGATACAAAAAATCAGATCCCTACCGAGGAACATCCTCAAAAACAGCTCCTAACACTAAAATATCAATAAGCAGCCGATAGTAACCCACCAGTGAGATAAAAAATAAAGTGCTTCATATACCTGTGAGGATTTTCAATCAAGTGACTACATTCTAATCCAGGCCACTACAGGCTTATGGACATTAAATGAGGAATAATGCTGTTAATCTAACTTTAAGTGTCTTAAAATTTTGGAATAAGCCTACAAGTCAATACACTTTCCACCTCTCTTTGTCATTCTCAGAAATTATAATACAGATTTAAACATTTCTATGTCACTGGACAGTATGATCCTCACACTAACCCTGAAAAGATAGTTATTATCATCAGTTTGGCTGTGTTAGCACCTTAAATAAAAAACTGTGACTTGGCCATCCTGACCATTAGTCCGGGGTCATTGAGACTGGGCCTGTAGTATGTTATGAGAAAGTTTCAGCTAGAGATGAGAAAAACTGAGGTAGGATAACCTCTGTGGAGGTTTGGTTGCAGAGTAGGAAATAGAAATTTCTGCCACTTATAAAAATGAAGAACTCAGGAAGAAGAAAATACCAGTGACAGGAGAATATGTTCAGGGCAGGAGGGAGGTGAGCTTCCCCATGTGAGTAACCTATAGGTACTGGACCTTCTGATTGACCTTGCTGCTATTTGCAATGTTGGCTGCTGTGATCTGTTTCCTAACACATAGGAATAGCCAATGGGCGACTTGTGTCTCAAACCTCTCAGCCTGGTTAACTGTTTCAACCTGAATTGCTCATACCCCCATCAGAGAGATTCCTAACTGGAAACTCAATATTCATTTGTACACCCCTCAATCTGGTCTGCTTTCATTCGCAGGGCACGAATTAACAAATGTTGTAAAATTACACAGAAGGTCATTCAGTCTGACCCAATGAGATCCTTCTTCACAACGGTGAGTCTGTAGTGGACTGCCTTAACCTTCACTCTGTGCTCTTGCAATTACCTAACCTGTCGCCTCCTGTAGTCCACACCATAAATGTTTCCTCCTATTCTGCTCTGAAGGCAGAAACCATGCTCCACATGAAAGCCCTTTTCCTATTTCTTCAAGGGACACTCCACTACATGATTCAAATAGGTAATTTTACAAATATAAGAGGACAGCCTTTTTCTTGAAGAATTGAGAAATTTAAACTCGCAGACAGCAAGGTTGGTCCTTGAGGAGCAACAGACTAGGTTCAAGATCACCTAAGTCAAGATAACAGAGCTCGTCTCAGAAGTATCTTTCTACAGGGCTTGAGTTGCAACTGTGCTAGATTAACATGTGCTTACAGGGAGAAAACACTGCGCACACTTCAGAGATAATAATGTAGGTTCTCTGTAATAATGCTGTGCATGGCCTTCTGACCACTGCTCAACAAGGAGCCAACCTGGATCAGATTGTGCGCTTCACCTATGCTGTCCTCCTTAAAGCTCCTTTAGGTTCAGGGTCCAGGTGATATTTGGAGCATTGTTAAACAGGGACAGGAACTGTAAGGAGACTGCCACTCGGGCAGATGTTAGATTTACACAGCAAAGATATTCCCAGAAGGATTTCGTAAGTCCTCCAGTTAGCTGAAACAGCAGGCCTTTCTTCAATGACTGTGTCCTGATGGGGAGATACCAGGAAGACGGGATGATAGAAAAGATAAAACCTGGGTAGGAGGTCGTGCACAATCAATCTTATGCCAAGGAAGCTTCTTAAAAAGAACAGCATTTGTCAACTACTTCCAGAGCAGAAACCTTAGGAAATGGGAAGCTTCCACAAATCAACAGGAAGATTCTAATACAATGGAATACCTTTAGGAAGAGCCAGAGCAAACAAGGTGGGCATAAGGAAAACATAGGGTGTCTCAAGTGTATTCTGATCAAGTCCACAGCAGACATGGAATTCATAATCAGACCCATGTGCTAGGGAGAGTTGGGATTCTGAGGATCTGAAGCAGCCCCTCTCCTAAGGCCCTGGCTAAAGACCTTTATCAGGCCAAGCATATTCCTGCTTTAAAAGCAGGAACTGTTTTTGCTCTATAGCTTGAAGACTTATAAAAAGCTGAAAAGGGCTAGGCCTCAGGCTATTATTGGCTCTACAAGGTATGGTCCAAAGTTTGAGAAGTTATGTTCCTTCTCTACATAGTGGAAAGCAGCAACTGAGCAGGCCAGCCCTCAACACACCACTTCATCCATTTCTAATATTTTTATGCACAGTGTTGTTCCCCATCGGCACAACTATGCTTTTTGGCATGAATGGAGGTATATGGAACACGTTAATGGGTGTTCTAACCCTGTAATGCTTTTCTGAGAGGCTTTTCATAGGCGTGCTCTTGGATATAGGATGGGACTAGTGGCTGGTAATAAACCAGAGTTTTCTATTTTGTTACAGTTTGTAATCACATGCCTGGTTCATCCTAGTGAACATACAGTTACATCCTGGTAGAGCCTGGTGTATTTATAGTTACATCTTAACATTCTAATCTCTAATAGGCCTGGTTAGCATACGACTTAACTTTGCCACAGACTGGAAGCAGACCTGCTACTATCGAACCTATTTAGTGTGACTTTCTTTCTCCTAAGCTTTGGTAAATCCTTTATATCTTCAGTTTTACTCCTCTACATCACAGCACAGTAGTGGAGCCCTATCCAACCCAGGACATGTTAATAACATCCATAAAATAACTCCAAATGCATTTTACAAGTATATTTTAAATGCGAATTGCTTCACTTCTAGAAGTTACTAGAGAAACTAGGCATTTCTGAGTATGGCAACTTGATTATTAGATACCCAAAGCATGGTGACATTAATAACCAGGTTGTGTCAATACTCAATCCCCTGTGTCTGGTACCCCAAGAAATTCTTTTTGCCAAGGTCAGTCACTTAGACAAATGCCGTCATTTCCTCAGGGGATTGAAGAAAGTTCCTACCTGAAACAAAAATTCAAATCATACAACTCCTCTCTGGCTAGAGGGTCTAAGGCTCTGCCAGAACCATGATTGTGTGCCTATTAACTTGTCAAGGCCAATGTTAGCCTCTAGGCTCCCTGCTTACAAGGCCCACTTCAGCTAACAACCCTCTTTTTCTGCTCCCATTTAACTCTGGAAACACCCATCTTTAATGAGCATAGTAAAAACTGGCTTTCTGACATGTAAAAACAGCTTAGTCAAGAGCCCCACTATGTGGAAGGCTTTACCAGACAAGCAGAATTGAGTGACATCATTCACTTGAGATAACAAGATAGTCCTTGAACCCCATGACACCCACTGGACAGTATATAAGAAGCAGAGGTCAAGAGCAATGATGCTCTGCTCTGGTCATCTGGTGAGAGGTCACCTTGATCTGTCTCAGCGCTGGAGAGTCTATCCCTGGATCCTGATGCTTCCTTTTTCAGATCAGAGACTTGTGTGAAGACAGGACCTGACTTTCAGGTTAGAAAAATGGCACAAGTGAGCAGACTTTGGGAGAGAGGTTTTGTCCTTCAGTTGGGAGTTTAGAACGTGAACCTTGTATGAGCACCCTAGCATAATAAAATACAACTTTTGTTGTCATGTGTGCATCTGCCTTTTTATTCTTCAGTTTCCCATAAGACAGCATGACCAGTTTCGAATAAACTTTTCCCTTTTTCCCCAAACAGCAGCAATTTCAGCTTCGCAACTGCACCCGTTTTCATTCACCCTGCTCCAACTGCTCTAAGCAGATGGAGACCCAGATGGAATGTTATTCAGAGGCTACAACCCTGGCCAGCGAGATGCAAGGACTTTATAGAATGCCATTTTTGGCTGCCTGCCTCTGCCCGCTGGGGGAAGGGGCAGAAGCTAACCACGTGGCTCCCAAGGCTCAGGCATCCACTCCTCCCCGCCTGAGCAGAGCAGCACCTCACTCACCATGTCGCAGCTTCCGAGCTCTCCCTGGCCCCACACAGCTCCCCGCAGCACTGCTCTCTGCACATAATACCACAGCCCTCGCGCTTGCTCAGACACGGATCCTAGCCTGCACCGGAAGTCTGGAAGAGCCCACCCGCTCACCTGACTGGCGTTCTGCCTCGAGATCATGATTGGCTATTGATGTCTGAGTGACAAGAGCACCTCCCTTAGGGTTGGGTTAGATTGTACTCAAGGACTAAGCAAACTGGGTTCTGGAAAGGCTCAGACCTTTCCCAAACTGCAGTGATTTGCATTTTACTTGTACTTGTGGCCTCCAATTGCTGACACTTTCCTCTTCCAGCATTCCTTAAGTACTTTGCCTCTTCCTCCTGGTGAGTTTGTAAAGCTCACTGCAAAATGTGAAGTGGAGTGTTTTTTTTCTGTACCACAGGTATTAACGTGCCTGGAATATTAACAATTAAAAGAGATTTTAGGACTCCAAACAAGAGTGGCTTCATGCTGAGTTTAGGCAAACTGTCCTTTTACCTAGCAGGTGCAGGGTCTTCAGAATACACTGAGAAAAAAGTAGGAGCCAGAGCACAACACTGTGATAAGTCTGAGCTGGATGATGGCTCCATTCCTGTAGGAATTTCCTTCCTGAAATCCAAGTCAATCTCTTGAAAATGAATACTAATGCAGAGTATAGTCTCCAAGTTAACACGAGTACATAGAGACAAATAAGGTGAGGAGCCCTATTGTTAGTCAGCAGATGTTTTTGTGTGCAAAGGTAAACCCGGGAATTCCTAAGAAACAGCCTCTAATGCCAGTAAAGGATAGAATTGCTAGTCAGATCTAGGCCAAGTAGGAAGAGAGAGAGAGAAAGAGAGAGAGAGAGAGAGAGAGAGAGAGAGAGAGAGAGAGATTACTTTTTCAACGTCCTTTATATATTTAGGTTGCCAGCAGAAGTTGGGGCCCTTATTTTTTTTAAAAAACATGTATCTTTTCACCTTGACAAACCTGGATTGATGGTGGATTTTCTTACTGCACACGATTTAATTTTCAAACATCTCTGAGAGTTAAATTCTAATGTCAGGATTTTAGTTGTTTCTGTATATGGTCAATTTGAATAGCTACAGCAACATCCAAGACTAAAGAGCCAAGAGAGATCTCTTACCTGTGGTGGGCATGAAGAACATGGGAGCCATTTCCAAAGGAACATTTTACCTAAACAGCGGAGCAAAGAGGATTTCTGGACATGATACTTGGGAGATCTGCCTATTTCTCAGCTTTCTCATTGAATAAATCCACTTCTGAATGTGCTCACAACTTTAAAGCAGAGACATTTGGGCTGCATTCTTAGCTCAACATTTTAAGATACCTAAGTTATAATAATACCTAAGTTATAATAATATCAGAAAGAAATGCCTCTAGCATGATCCTACTTTACAACAATGTCTGAATCCTGAGTGCTGGTATTACAGGAATACAGTATCACAACCATCTTGAAAACTAAGTTTGTAGGACAGTATTGTACAACAACTACTCTGACCTGAGAGTCTCCTTCCTGACCTGAGGTGACTTAGTAACTCCTTGTGTAGGTGAGGGGTACATGCTTAAGGCCTTTCAGCAAAAAGGAAGATATGTGCTAGTAATGCAACTTAGATCCTGTTGCTAAATGGCCCAGCTTCTCTATTTCCACAATAAGCCTGGTCCTAAGCCACAGTCCAGTCCATGCAAGGACACCTATCACCCCGGTGCTGTCCTCACGTTTGTTCTGTGTCCCAGGACTCTTCTGTCAGACTGGGCAAATCTCTCCTCCAGGTGACAGGATTTTACCTTGGTTCTGAACCAAGAATCGGGTATTTACTGGCATAAGAGACAGTAACAAATCTCATTAAAAATCCATGCACTCTCTGTTCATTTCTTTATACTCTATGGAGGCCAAAAATAGATGCAAATGAAACTCTTTTTCTCAGCCAGTAACTTCTAGTGAGTATGAGGGAGGGCTGTTCCTACACTCTCAGAGCCTCCTCATGAGTCTCCTTTATTTTTTCATCCTATCTATTTACAAAGCACTTGGGTCCTTACCATGACTTGTCATCTTTCTGACTTGAAGATACCTTGTGGATGATGCAGACGGATGCTTCACAGAGCTTTCAGAGCAGCAGATACACACTGAGCATGTGACTGAAGATCACAGAGCAGCAAGTTCTTTTGCTCACACTTCTTTTCAGCACAGGCATTGTCCCTTCCTTAATCATCCATGCAGACATCACTGTCTACTGGGTCCTTATCACAGCCACTTGGTCCCAGACCAGAGACTGACTCATGTTGCCCACTGGTTCCTTGACCGGACTGAGCACTGGCAGCACATCAACTGCAGCTTTCTATACTTCAGGGAGTATTACTACCTGCTTGGGATGAACAATGATAAATATTCTGCTATCTTATATGAAATCAGTTAAATTTCCTCCCTTGAGCACTGGTGTCTAAGTCATTAAGAGAGAATCTGAAGTGTGAGATGAGGGTCTGTGGCCTGGAAAGGGTGAAAGTCGAGGAAAGAGAATTTCTGAAGTGGTTTAGCTGCAGAGATGGGAGGGAGAGAGGCTGTCCCTTACAGAAAAGAATAATTCAGAGAAAATAGCAAATTACCAACTTATGAATTACAAACCTTGGATCAAAGGTAGGTCAGATATCCCCAGTGAGTCACCCAGGGTTTGTAGAACTCTCTGGAAACTCTCTTTGGTACTGGCTATGATGGCCATGTTTGTTCTTACAGTCTACCTTGGCAGTTTGGGAAATCCTGAGAAAATGATGCATTTTCCCCTGGGGGTCCTATGGGACCACTGAGTGTCATCTCACTTGTCAGTGTTGGTTCTCCTAAGTCACTGCTTTCCTTCCCAGAGTATCTTCTCCTATCAGTAGTGAGCCAATGAGTTCCTTTGGAAATTAAGATAAAATAACTTCCCTCAGAACCCAAGAAAAGAGAAGATGAATTGCATACACGCCATTAATACATTACTGCTATGATGCAAATTTAGCAAGCATACAATGCTTCTTCCTGGAATTGAGTAGGACACTTTGTTATAGAATATATGTGTCTTTGTGTGTCTCTCTCTGTGTGTGTCTTTATTTTTTCCAGACTAAAGGCTAGTTTCATTTTCTCACAGTTCTTTTTAATACATCTCAATTTTGAAATATGCCAACATGTCATGTTTCTACAAGATGAACATTAGACTGATTACATAGCAAAATGTCTTTATGAGTCTTTGGTTGGGGTAAATAGAAAACAGTAAATCTCAGAGAAGCCTGTGTAAGCCAACCACTAGAGTTTTGTCATTTCAGATTCTAGTATGGCTTCCTGTTCATAAGATATCCTCTGGAGTCTTCATATTCTTCCTATGTCTCAAGCCTGCCATTCTTATGAAGTCTTTTGCAGGTTCAGCGTTGCCCCCAAGGAGACACGATCTCTAATCCTTGTCATATTTGCAAAGAGAACCGTGTTTGGACTACCCACACACCTCATGCCTAGAGCATGACTCTATTCAGCAAAGTGCCCCTGGAAGGCCTTTAGAACTTGGTAGGTGTAGTTTCCACAAATCTCAGAGTTGTAATTGATATTCGGGCCATGAAGATTATATAGACAGTGGGGGATGGGTTTGACATTCCAGCCTAGGGCAGGTTTGGGATGTTGTAAATGATTTCTTTGTCTTCATCTTCTCTTCAGTTCTCAGTGGCTTATTCTTCTTTTTCTTCTTGCTCTTCTTCTGTCTCAGCTTATTTTTGCTGTACATTTTCATGAATGAGCTGTCACTATTCCCCCAAAATCTCCACGTATCCGTAATTTGGACTTCCAGAAAAGCAGTGTCTTTGTTTCTTTCAGTGTCTTTTTTATGCCCTTTGGTTTGGGACTTTTGGCTCTCAGAGTGGTATAGAGTGACTCCAGTGACTTTTTATTGATGCTGCTTAGCCTGAACTGGCTCTTCTAAGGTCTCACTACAATTCATACATAAAGTTACCGGTGCAGATTTAAACTTTTCCAGACCTAGGAAAGCCAACTACTCCCCCTAGAAGGAGAATTTAGAGAGGGCAAGATAGGTTCTAGCATGGGTCAAGACACTACTTGTCTCTTTCAGCCATCCTTGAGAGGTACCATTATCCTAAAATTCTCAGGGTCAGTCTTAATCTTCCCAAAGAGCAAATTTATATCCCCGAAGGGGTTTCTCCCTTTCTGTGCAATAATGGATGTACTCCAAAAGCGTCTCCAGGTATCTCTTATACTCTGCAGCCTTTCTTCCTTTAGGAATGTCAAATAACTTGTCAAATTTACCAAGTATGTGATGCAATCCAGTTTCTCAGATGCCATCTGGTTAATGTAGTTGAGGTAGCACTCGTGGAGATCAAGATCATGACCATATCCCTCTTCATCTGTGAACTCCATGAAGTTTTGTCCCTCCTCACTTAGATTCTTTTAAGCTTCAGGCGCTACTCAGATTCCACTGACATTGCACACAGATCTCATTTGGTTGTTTCCAGTGAATTTTTTCTTTCTGTTTCAGTATATTATAGTATTCAGAAAACTCATCAGGTCCTGAAATAGCATTGAATTTCTCCTTTCATATTCCATATTTATCATCATACAAACCCCTGAGGTTCTCACTGACATCCATGTACATATCTTTCATGGCTCAAGTGCAGAGATCAGAAATGACCTCGTCCCAAAACATGGATTTTTAGTAAGCATCCCTCTGGCAATGATGTCCATGAGCCATTCCTTCTCCTCATGATATCTCTGTTATTTATTGCTCCAAAGTTATCTCCATTTTTCCCTGACTGTGGCACTTCAATTCAGACCACCAATAAGACCAGGATATATTTCAGTGGCCACAGACCAGGTGTCACAGCCCTTGAGATTCAGGCATGAAACCATCCAATCCCAGTGTTGATTCTAGTTTCACATTCTTTGGGATTTCCATTTAATATGGGAGGCAAGAGACAAGATGTTAATTATACCTACATCTAATGGAAAGTCTCTGCCCTCATGTGTGTGTCTGTGAAAAGACAGTGAAGGCTCAGACTCTTTGCTGAAACAGGGAGCTGCCCTAACTTCTTGACTCTAC